GATCGTTTCTGCGGAGAGTTTTGCTATGTAGGTCAAAGTTGATAAATAAGACGCACATTAATGTACAATAACCAAACTGCTATCGAGAACACATACATACATATGTACATATGTACATATGTGCATGTAGTAAAAAATACGCAGCAAAACTTGCCATTGCGTTATCAGCAGAAATTATGTACATATGTGGCCCTAATGGCCTCTGTATCGCAGCTTCGTCGTACGGAAAAGCCAAAACTAGCACTTTTTTATTTGACTCCCGTCAAGCAGAAGGACGGAATAAGGGATGGAAAATATAGTTTTCGAAACAATACTCCTATGCAGAATCACGCTTAGTAGGTACACACCGACAGAAAAATCCTCCACACTTTCATGTTGATTTTCACTTTCACAACTTCTGCAGTAGTCGTCGTAGGCGATAGTACCTACATTATGTACATTAGGGTGGTCCTTAAATGTAGGAAACAAGTTTTTACATTAGATTTCCTAAGCCTCAACTCCTATGTCGATGCTACTATAGTCGAAGATATCACATATAAATTTTAGCCCCAATTGGATACGGTTAAGGCGTGTCGCACAGGGGTCAAAGTTCAGATTGCCCTATGAAGACGTCTTAAGCGACTCCGGATAAAGAACAGATAATTTACGGCAGACTATTAATTAGTTAGTTTGGGTTTAGCTGGGTTTCCTTAATTCGTTTTCAGAAGGTGTCCTGCTAACTTCCACGGAAGTTCGCAGAGTACGCAATATTCTTTTAAATATGTCTGCGAGACAATTTTTAGTCCCGTGGCTAGCGATATTTTTAAAAATATGTCCGCGGCTAAATTATCCTTTTCACGGATAATTAACGGCAAATTATCCGATAGGAATTTTTACTTTGGGAAAAAGTTGTCCTGCCAACTTCAGAGAGGTTGCTTTCTGGTGTCGCCAGAACACCACCTACATGATGAGGTTAAAATGCTCTCCAGAAGGGAACACAACACAACAATTCTTAGTAGGGATCCACAGACATGACCAACCGAACAGACAACTGCTTGCAGAAGAGCCCTCGCCAAGCCATGTCAGAAGGCATCTATACGAACTGACGGACGAAGTCCAGAGGTTCATAGAGCAACCTCTGGACCCGTCAGCATACCGACAGGCCCTGAGTGGCATTCACAGGAAGTCAGTCTCAAGTTACGTAGATTCCAGACCTGTGAATGCTGCTCTGGGCACACAACCACCTCACGTAGACGAGACGGGGCTTCGTCTGCGTCGAGAGATTCGGACCACAATAACCCAACTTCGCTTAATTTCGGCGGCTCTAAAAACACCTTAATTGCATGTAATTCCTGAATAATATTTACCATTGTTCGACGAAATTTAGTGGGTGGGTCAGTCGGCTGGCCCATATATTTTTGCAATTTTTTCGGAAACCGAGCGCGCACTTAAATTAATTTTGGAGGCCCTAAATAACACCTAAATTGCACCTACTTCCTGAGTAATTTTTATCATTTTTTGGAGAAGTGGGTCAGCTAGCGTGACGGACGCAATTTTAAGCGCCTGTGGAAAGTAAATACTAAAAGCATTTTTAAATGCACAAAAAGAAATATAAACTTTATGAAAAAATCATCAAAATCGAAGAAAAGGGGCAAAAGTTGCATGATTTTAAAGAAAAGTTTCAGAATAAGGCTATTTTTAAAAAGTCGGTGTCAAGGGGCAGCCATATCTAAAAAGTGTCAATTTGACACTTTAGTCGCACAACGGTAACACTGGCTATATAATAACGGGGCGGTTCAGGGAATTAAATAAACAATCAAAAATTTTACGGTCTCATGTTCAAGCCGCTTGTATGTATGTTAGAGGTTTACGCCGACAGGCTTTGCGGCGGCGGCGTGGTCAACGTCAAAAAGATTCGGCGGCGGCGGCGACGCCGGCGCGTCTGAAAACGCCGGCGCTACTTCTCATAAGGTAGATTTCAAAGAGCTACTAATCTTATCATTTCAACTCGTCAGCGTTAGGCATTCGCCATGCCAATTATTCTATTATTATAATTCTATTTACTTCATTATTGAATTAGTTTTAAATTTAAATATTGTTACTTCCTACTTGAATTAAAATGTTGAGTGTCTGGCGCTGATTGATGGGTGAACAGAAGAAGGTCTGAGGTATATACATACATACACACACGGATCTCTATATTCTCTACAGATCCGTATGTACTATTTAAATTTAAAGAAAAACAAATTGTTTAAAGTTTAGTTATTGGGGTAATTTATGCCGCTCTCAATAAATTTTTGCAATAGTCTTATCAAATCGAACCAGAATGGGACTTTTTGACCCACTGTTGAAAAAAATGGCTTATAGATGGTTAAAACTTCCACTAAAATATGAAGCGCCAAATTTTTCTAAGGAGAACCAAATGTAATGAAAAATAATACTAATGTTTACCATAAAGACGGAACTTTAACCCTGTGTAGAAAACATAGCGATGCGAGGGAGCAAAACCTTCCTGGGGTTTGACCACCACTAAGGAATGCTAACGTAATTTTCACACAGCCACCTAGTACTTGTATACGTATGTGGGACCCCAGAATAAAATAACTTACGAATGTAAATATTAGCAAAAAAGTGTTTGTTTAAAATATTAAAAAAATACATAGAAAAATCAATTTGTCTTTGATTTATCTTCAATAATTGAGGAGTTAGATGCAAAGAGGCCGCTTCTATTAAAACTGCTTTCTGAGATATTGGAGCTAACGTTTTTGATGTGTTAGAAGTTTCTTGTTGTTGTAGTAGGTGTATAAAAAAGTAGTATCTTTGTAGTATAGAAAAGAATTGTCTATTGCGGAAAAAAATCGTTAGATTACCAGTATTCGACCCTAATTTAACTGTAATAAACGCTGTCGTCAAAAAATATGTTACCTATGTTTTTTCTAAGTTATGCTATTTTGGAAAAAATAAAGGAGATCATACTCTTGTCCAGTGGCCCAAATTATGCAAAAAAAAACTAATTTAAAAATGTAATTTTCATTTCGTAAAATTGTGTTTTTATACAAGTAATATTTAGTTCCTTCAAACGATGTATTCAATGTACATACATCATGAAAATTTTGTACAAAATTCCTTAGGCGCCGAACGCCGCCGCCGCCGCCGCCGCGCCGATATTTTCGTAACTCGGCGGCGGCGCGTGAGGAATGACAAAAAACGGCGGCGGCGGCGGCGTGGCTCGGCGGCGTATACCTCTAATGTATGTACATATGTCTGTATGTATGTATATCGAGCACTTACCGTTTAAATTACCTTAGGGGATTTCTTTTTCAAAATTTTATTTTGATGCACAAATACAAATGCTCTTAGAGGTTTGCATTTTGTAATATATACAGTCAATCAATAGAGTTTAGGTACAGTGTTTTTTTTCCAATAAGGGCAGCTGTTTTTTAATTATTTTATTTTTCGTAAATTTAAAAAAATATATATATGGTTTCTCTTCAGGAGACTTTCAATAATAATACCCAATTGTTTGTTTAACCATTTTTTTGTACTAACGATTTTTTATTGTTCCCCCTATTTCATTTTTTGGCGTTTTTGTTGGTTTTTGGCGGACACATAAATTATAGTTGCGATGAAAAAATGGTTTACTAAAAGATTGGGTATTATTACTGGGAATCTCCTGCAGATAAAAAGATTTCCGATAGTAAAATATTGATTTTTAAGAATTCTATACCATTTCTGCGAAAAGTTGTTTTTCCCCATATAAAATACATGGAAGACTTTGGGCGCTTTGAGCGACCTCTAAAAATTTTTTGATTTCAAAATAAAAAATAGTGGTCTATTTTTTGGGTGTAGAACAATCCTAGGGGATGAGAGCATCCGACTTTATTTTTTCACATGAATTTTTGGACCACCCTAATGTACAAACATGAAAATTAATTTTGTAGTTTTTTTCTCAATTTGATTGTTTTTTTCAGCTTTTGGGCAGTTATTTTTTTAACAAGTGGCAACCGTCCGTTCGTCTGACAGTAAATACTTGAATTTATAGAAACCAGAATAAATTCCTTGATAAAAAATATTTAAAGGTAAAATCGCTCGCTCAATTAGTCGGCCATCATTTAAATTTCGAGGTTTGTCTACTTTATAAAATTGAAATTTTCAGAGCAACTCAGATGCGTAATAACAGGTATATTCTGCACGTTACCGAAGATTTTGTGACCGGAAAATTTTATTATCAAAAAATGTTACCACTTTTTGTCACCGCGATTATAGGTACGTTGCATGAACCATGCATGGGTACGTTGGTAATGCAGTGAAAATATTCAGCAACTCAGCTATGAAGATTCGTGGAAATTCCTGTATTGCATATTTCAAGGGGCAATATTTTGTTACCAGCTTATGATATGGTAACCCGTGAAACAATAATTAAAGGTTTGCTCATTAGTGACATTGGAGTTTTGGAGGAGATGGCGTGGCTCCCCAAACACCCTAAAACTAAACTAAAGAGGATGGACGCCACTTTATGAAAAGTCACCCCTCCCCCCCTAAAGACCCCTTGGGAGCTGTTTGAAAACAGCGTAAATTTGGATTTTTTCCAAAACGATAACCATCAGTACTCTTTTCTCTGTTGCCCAAGAAGAGGGGCAGGGGCACCTTTTGCAGAGAGCACCTTTCAGCACCTTTTTTTGGCAGCTCACCTCGGAAACTTGCAAAAAATACCATATTTCCAACCGACATTATTAATAAATTAGCGCACAGATATAGTAAATTTTATTTTTGTAATAAAGCGTGAACTGTTGTCTACAAGTGTGTGTAAAAGATTTTTGATCCGATCCACGCGTTTAGGCACAGCAAACCCAAAATCGTTGTACAAATTCATAAAGAGTACCCCAGATTACTAAATACTCCTCGAAATGATCTCACTTTAATAAAAAAATAATTGTACATAGACACTCTTATTTTTCCATTTGGCCCTTTTTTATATCCAGTATTCATAGCTGAGTTGGCAGCCCTGGTCATCGACTTACCTTGTTATTTCTCTTTCTCTCGCTTTTACTAATTCTTTTATTCGCGCAGTCGATAGATATTTTGTACTGCGCTGCTTTCGTAGACAGGGGCGTTCCAAATTCGCCTCTTCCTTTCAAGCGCTCCTTTTATATTCCTTTGTTTCCGTTCTAATGCAGCTACGAGTTTAATAAAACAGGATATTATTAACATTTGCTTAATATAATAGTGAAAATAGTGCTATATCGACTTCCACAAGTCTAGAACGAAATTCGCACCAAAGCCACCCTGCACCGCACCACAGTTCTTTCCGACGACTACAGTTCTGCCTACGTCGCTGCTTCAGCTTACGTCTCAAAAAGGTAGAGCACATTCGATTTTTCATTAATTCGTGGCGTCCCACTATTTGAAAAACTTGTTTTGCAGATTCCCACACCACTTTTGCGTCTCAATAGCACATTTCCTCTCAGGCAATTATTACCTTTTAGCACACATAGTAATCAATCACTATTTTCTCAACGCTTTAATTTAACATTTGGCTTTTCACTGAACACTTGCACTTTTTCACTTGTTTTTTCCGATTTTTCGATTTTTCCTGGGAAAGCCATCTCGCTGAGCGGTCAAATTTATACTGTCAGCGTTTCTTGATTGGATGGGCGATTTATTGCAGCGCACGGCTGCGCTGCGCTAGTCTCTGCCTTCGTTGTTCATTCTTGGTTGTCAAACAGCAGGGTTGATTTAAACCTTTACAGTGACTATCGGAAAGATTCAAATTTTACTTAATATTAAATACTTAATTTACCTAAACAGTTGCTTTTTCAGTTTACAAAAATTATATTAATTTTAAATAATAACTGAATTTGTCTTTTGAATTAATAGAATGCGTTCTTTAAGCGACAGGGACGAATTCTGGAACATTTCAAATGGAGAAATGCAACTCTGTTTTGTCTTAATATCACAGTGTCATTCGTAATTTATTCCCTTTATTCTTGCTTGTTTTTGCAGCAGGCTTTTTGTTTCGTTGTGCGTGGTTTGGTGATCGGGTCGTGAAATTAGATATTTAATTGTGAAAATCTGTATTTAAAAAGTAATTTCTAATTTAAAAATGAATACTTTGGGGCCAAAAAAGGACGGAAGTCCTAATGTGGAGTTCTTCCAATCTCCAGAATCACTTCAAGGCTTTGAAACTATTCGTCTTTGGCTAGGGAAGAATTGTAAAAAGGTAAGTACAACGCGGCCACGAACAAAAATGGCGCTGCGCTGACCATTGAAAGCGATTATATTACTTTTCTTTTGTTTCTCATCTAGTATTTAGCAAATAATACAGAATCAATTACAAAGGAATCGCTTGCGCAGTTGGTAATCCAGTTTTTGCAATATGTGGAAGCTAAACTTGGCAAAAATGCCCAAGAGCCGCCGGCGACTCGGATCCCGGTAAGTTGGTAGAACACAGGAAATATTTTATGTATACCCTTCAATAGAAATGGCAGGGTGCATACGATGGGTTATTTTTTTCATGATGCATTTCCGAACGCAATCTGCGCAAATTTTTTATTTGATTTTAAGTTACTCTATTTGTGTTAGCTTTGGTTTTAACATACATACATATATATATTTGTTCATTCATAATATAAATAATTCTTATTTGTATTTTTTTCTCCAACTTATTCAAATAAATATTTCTGGCAGATGCGTTTATTTATGGATTTTAAACCTGGTGGCGGCCTATGTGTCATCTTCAGCACAATGTTTCGATTCCGTGCCGAGCAAAGAGGCAAAAAGTTCGATTTTTCTGTGGGTAAAAATCCCCCTCGCAAAGACCCCAATATTCAGTTGCTGATTGATATTGAACAAGCTCTTGTTGAAGCAAATCTTTATCGCATTCATTATATTTACATACGCCCGGAGGTAAACAAAGAACTAGCCCAAAGGCTGCGTGATATCCTAATCACCAGACGTGTGGAGATCGTTACCGATGAGGAAGAAGCTACTCATATCATTTACCCAGTGGTTGATCCACACCCGGATGAATATGCACGTCCTGTTTTTAAACGTGGAAATCATGTAATGTTACATTGGTATTATTTTCCGGAATCTTATGATTCCTGGGCCATTAACTCATTTGATTTGCCGGAATATGTGCCCGAGAATCCAGAGGTACCAGCAGAACGTTGGTTCGTGTCAGCTTCATGGGTTTTAGACTTGGAGCAGTATAACGAATGGATGGTCGAAGAAGACTACGAAGTAGATGAAACGGGCAAAAAGAAGACACACAAACATCGTATGTCAGTGGAGGATATCATGTCATTTGGAGCGGATGAGAAAAAGCGAGTGCCTGGTGCCAGTGGTACGGCCACTAAGCAAAAACGCCGCCGTTCCCCTTCGCCAAACGCTTCGAAACCAGGAAAGCGCAAACGATCGCCAGCTGTATTACATAAGAAATCACGCAATGATGAGGACGATGAGGACTTAACGCGAGATATGGATGATCCTCCAGCAGAACCCAACGTACAGGAAGTAGTAAAAACATCGTCACTTCAGTCTAATGCTAGTCCAGCCCCGGGCGGAAAATCTCGCGCCGACAATGACATGATGCCAATTAAAGGTAACTAGTGTTCGCCCAGCGGTTGAAATTCAACCGATAAAATTAAGGATAGTTTATGTAAGTTGAATGAGCTAAAATAACATTAGTTGGAATGGGTTAAGTGGAGGGGAGTTTAGCTTAGTACTTGGCATAACATAACATAACCATAACATAAGAATAAATAACATAACATATGAAGCATAACACACCACAATATAACATCGCACACTCTTCAGTTGTATTTCCTTTTTATCCCTTTTTTCACCTCTATCTAAATCTTATTTATTTTGGTTCATTTTATGCCAAATGATGTTGCCTTTGATGCCACATCAAGTGATATCATGTCATGTGGTGAAATTGGGTGTAGGAGTTACGGTGTGGTGAATTTAGGTGTGGTGGATTCAGGTGTGGTGAGTTAAGTTATGGTGAGAAAGTTGAGGTGTGGTGAATTAAGGTGTGGTGAATTTTGGTGTGGTGAGTTGAGGTGAGTTAAGGTGAGGTGAGAAAGTTGAGGTGTGGTGAATTAAGGGTGGTGGATTTAGGTGTGGTGGATTTAGGTGCGGGGTTAAGGTGTGGCGAGTTGAGGTGTGGTGAATTTAGGTGTGGGGAGTTAAAGTGTGGTGAATTAATGTGTGGTGAGCTCAGGTGGAGTAAGTTTTTAAGTTAAGATGAGTTAAAGTTAAGGGGTTATGATCTTTATCCTTATCTTCATCTTCATCTTCATCTTCATCTTCATCTTCATCTTCATCTTCATCTTCATCTTCATCTTCATCTTCATCTTCATCTTCATCTTCATCTTCATCTTCATCTTCATGTTCATCTTCATATCCACCTTGCTTTGTATTTAGGTTTCTTTACTTTTATTCTAATCTTTGCCTTTATCCCTTTCTTCTTCTACATATTCAACTTTACCTTCTTCCTTGCATGAATCTTAATCTTCGTAAATCTGATTTCTAAACTGCTGCTTAGCAGATTTCTTTAATTCAGTATCAATATTAAAGCAATGTCATTGATGCCACATAAAGTGATATCATGTCATGTGGGGAAATTGGGTGTGGTGGTTTGCGATGTGGTGGAATTGGGTGTGGGAGTTACGGCGCCGTGAATTCAGGTGTGGTGGGCTTAAGAGGTGCGGTGAGTTTAGGTGTGGTGAATTTATCTGTGGTGAGTTGAGGTGTGGTGAATTTAGGTGTGGGGAGTTAAGATGTGGTAAGTTGAGGTGTGGTGAGTTAAGGTGTGGTGAGAGAGTTGAAGTGTGGTGAATTACGGTGTGGGGGTTAAGTTGTGGTGTGTTTCATCTTCATCTTCATCTTCATCTTCATCTTTATCTTTATCTTCATCTTCATCTTCGTCGTCTTGGTCTTCATCTTTATCTTTTCCTTTATCCTGATCTAAATATGTCCATTCTTTTCTTCATTTACATATTCACCCCCACCATTGTTATTAGGTTAGGTATTTAAATTTTCCTTCCTCTTTGTCTTTATATCTCGGTTTCTTTACTTTTATTTTAATTTCTGTATTTATCACTTTCTTCTTCTCCATACTCAACTTTACCTTCTTCCTTGTTTGAGTCTAATCTATTCATGTACATAAATACATACATTTTATTCCTGAACTGCTGCTTAGCACGTTTCTTTAATTCGCTATCAATATTAAAGCATACATTTAGGGGGCATTTCCGCCCCACCCATGTACATGTGTGCATTGGTATTGGTGTGACTTTTGAATTGATTTTTTCGCTCTATTTTAAAATGATTTGAAATTTTAAAAATTGCCTGCACATCAGCATCAAAATACCTTTCTAATGATATATAATTGTTTATACCTTAGAAGTACAGTTTAGCCGTAAAAGGGGTGTAAAGGAAACATGATTGCCTATTTATATAATTGATAATATTACTAATAATAGGTATAGTAAAACTAAAGTCATCGATAGCAATAATTACAATATTACTAATATAAAACCTTAAACTAATATATCAGGCGGAACAATGACAGATTTGGATGATGAAATGACAGGTGGTAGTGCAGCACAAGCGCTTTCCACAGGAGATGGAGAAAATTCTCAAACTGGCAAAACTAGTGACAACAGTAATACTCAGGAGTTCTCTTCCTCCGCTAAAGAAGATATGGAAGACAACGTTACCGAGCAGACACATCACATCATAGTGCCCTCCTACTCTGCCTGGTTTGACTACAATTCTATTCATGTAATCGAAAAGCGTGCAATGTCGGAATTTTTCAACGGCAAAAATAAATCTAAAACACCTGAAATTTACATGGCATATCGTAACTTTATGATTGACACCTACAGGTAACAAATATAAGTACAATTATATGTAGTTCTAAACTAAAATTGTGTGGCAACTTCTTAGGTTAAATCCAACTGAGTACTTAACCAGCACAGCCTGTCGCAGAAACCTTGCAGGCGATGTCTGCGCCATAATGCGTGTTCACGCATTTTTAGAACAATGGGGTCTAATTAACTACCAGATTGACGCTGAGCTGCGTCCGACTCCAATGGGTCCCCCGCCCACTTCCCATTTCCATATTTTATCAGACACGCCATCTGGTTTGCAATCGTTGAATCCGCAAAAGACGCAGCAGCCATCTGCAGCAAAAGCTCTACTTGACTTGGACAAGCCAAAAATAATTAAAGATGGAAAAGAAGGATCCGTGGAAGGAGACAAACCCGGTCTCTTACCTGGAGGTATAACTATCAAAAGCGAGACTATAGAGAATGGTTCCAGTGCAGGTCAGCAATTTGGTTTAAAGTTGGACCAATATGCTAAGAAACCAGCGGCGATGAAAAATCGTACCGCAGCCAGCATGACACGCGAGTGGACTGATCAGGAAACTTTGCTTCTGTTGGAGGGTCTCGAAATGCATAAAGATGACTGGAATAAGGTTTGTGAGCACGTAGGGACACGAACACAAGATGAGTGCATACTGCATTTCCTTCGACTTCCTATCGAAGATCCATATCTAGAGGATGATGGTGGATTTTTGGGTCCGTTAGGATGTCAACCAATACCATTTAGTAAATCTGGCAACCCTAT